CGTCTGGCGAGAAGCCCCGTGCGTGGGCACGCGGCTAGGTGGTCTCCCAGCGTGTCCAGCCTGGCCCGGCAGCCTGGGTAAATTCATATTCATAATGTCTGCGTGTACTGATCGACTGCTGCGTCCCACTGCGTGGACTGCAACAAATCTTGTAAACGTTCCGAACCGTTCCCCGCCTCGCTCAGAGCCCGGGCGTGCATGTAAGTTGTCCATTGTAATCGTGGTCGTCCTCTTTTGCGAAGGATGTCTTTCCACTTCCAGGGGACAAGCTCAAGCGTGGGCCCCTGCTCAATAGACTCAAGTACCATTGTCTTTGGAAATGCCGTCGAAGGAGACCTCGCCACTTCACCGTAGTACTTCAATTGCCGCTGCAATAGAACAATTGTTAGCTTTTGTGTTTGTGCTGTCGCTCGCACCTGAACATTGCTGACTCGAGAGACGAACGCTGGCGGGATGTTGTAGATTCTCCAGGGACACCTCGCCTGGAAGCCGTCGAATCGATCCAGATCACGTGATAGTAAGAGACATGATTCATTTTTCCTGCGGGAAACGCTTCCTTAAAAAGACGGGCGCCCTATGGTCTTGCTCTTCGGTCCAGAGCCCCGTTTCGAACGTAGATTGCCACTCCCCCCCCCAGAAAAATCCCAAACCCATGGCTTCCTGACGCGTGTCGGAACCTTGGGGGCGCACTTGTGGCCATCTTGGAGTGCAGCGATCAAACAAGGGGGTTCCCTAATTACGGGCCCCCCTCGGGATGCCCAGGGATCACATCTTGGACCCCTGTGGGGGCGCTGTTGGAGCGTTCTTGGGCGCTATGAGGGTCGTTTTGGGAGCCATCTCGGGTCTCTATTTTGGATTTTTTTCAGGTTTTCTTGGAGCCATCTTGAGGCCTCGGAAAGCCATCGGAAGCGAAAAGACGAGAAAACAATACAAACATTGATATTTTCACTCGTACTCGAGGGATATTGGGCTCTTGGAGGGTCTCCTTGACAGGCTCCATGGCTACTTGGAGCTGTCCTGGGGCGGTCTTCGGGCCTGTTGGAGCATCTTGAGAACCATCTTGAGGCATGTTGGGCTATCTTGAGCCATCTTGGAGGTCACACTGGGCTCTCCGAGGCCCTGTTGGCGCCATTTTGGGCCACCTTGGACGCTCTCACCGCCCGCGCCCCCCCCCATCCCCCGCCCAGGTCCAGGGGCGAGGGGGAGGGGGGGTAACCCTCCCCGAAGGGGAAGACGGGGAAAGATGGAAGAGGCAACTCGCCAGACCACCTACGCCCAGGATGGCTGGTGGGGGGGAGCCACCCGTATAGTTTGCTCAAGTGGCGACCATCTTTGGCCCGTAACTGCCCATCTGCCAAGGCGAGCCGGCGGCCAGGATTCCCTGAGATGCATTTCAGGAATTTCTGACAAACGGCCCCCAGAATATATATATATATATATATATATATATATATATATATATATATTCCGCAGCATGGCGAAGAAAAACAAACAGTTGTTGTTTTGCTGCCCACGGCTGTCGAGGGTCAAGAAAACAAAGACCTCGCAACGCCAAGGATCGAGGGATACAAAGCAACATAAAACATAATCCAAACGCCCTAATAAATCATTGAATTTCAAATTTTAAGCGCAGCCCCCTGGCGGTTCTGCAACGGCTGCAGCAGACGTTGCAGCGCTCCTGGGGTTCTGCCCCCCCCAACCCTCGGTATTTGAAAACAGGTATGTTTTTTTTGAGATCGGACAATTGTCTCTCTGTTTCTGTCTCTCTTTCTCGGTCTGTCTGTCTCATTCTCAATAGATCTTAAAGCTTTCTTCTATACTATGTTTTGATTTGTTGTTTGTTTGCGCACTTTCGTGTGTCTCGTATGCGCGCTTTCGTTTGCTTCTCAGCGTCCAGAAATATAGTAAACGCGTGGTAGTTTCGTGCGCGGTCTTCGCGGCGGCGCATTTCACCCCGGTTGGCTTCGCACTTTATGGCACCACGGTTGCGTCTCTCTCTTTTTCATTTAATCGCTTCGCTCATTCCGCCGGCCCATACAGTCTCATGTCTGCCGTTTGCCCGAGGGCCTGGTGTCAATGCGGCGCTTTGGGGGTTCCTGGGGCCGCTTGGGGGACTCCTGGGGCGCTCGGGGGGGCATTTGGGGGGCCTCCTGGGGCCGCTTTGGGGACTCTTGGGGGCCTCCTGAGGGCCTCGTGGGGGCCTCTTGGGGCCTCTTAGGGGCCTCTTGGGCCTTCATGGGGGCTTCTTAGGGCCGAGGGCTCGACATGTTGTTTCGTGTTCCCTCTCTGGGGCCCCTTTGGGGGCGTTCTTGGGGCCCTCTTGGACCGTCTTGGAGGCTTCTTGGGCCGTCTTCGAGCCCTCTTGGGCCATCTTGGGGCCCTCTTGGGGGCCTCTTGGGCCCTCTTGGGGCGATCTTGGGGGCCTCTTGGGGCCGTCTTGGGGCGTCGGGAAGCCGAAAAGGTGGAAGCTCCAAAATCTTTCAAAAAACCGAAGGAAAACAATGAATTTTGCCTCAGGGGGCCCTCTTGGGAGTGCTCTTGGAGGCCTCTTGGGGCGTCTGGGGGCTATCTTGGGCGTCTTGGAACGATCTTGTGGCATGTCGGACCCCTCGTGTACCATCTTGGGGGCCTCTTGGGGGCCTCTTGGCTTTTCTTCGGGCTCTCGGGGACGTCTCGGAGCCCTGTTGGTGCGCTCATGGAGCGCTCCTGGAGCGCTCTGGGGGAGTCTCCCGGGGATCGGTCGGGGATCGCCCGGGGTACTTTTCGTCCGGGGACCCCCAGGGGCCGCCCCGCGCGCGCGAACTAGAGAATTGTTAACCAGTTACCGGAGATCTTAGCACGCCTCTGGCCCGTTGGGCCGGCGAATTCCTGGATTTGCAAAGGCCGAATTCGAACCAGAACATTCGCACCCCGTTAAGGGAGATTCAGACGAGAGGAATCTCTGAGTTAACGTCGCGCCGGAACACCACAGCGAGTTTCGTTTCTAGATCAAATTGGGTCAGAACGCCATGGTCAGTCTCATTTCTGTTTGTACGAGTATTCATTTTTGATTGTAATCGAGGCTGAATGCCAGAGTGAGTCTCCTCACTGGATCTGCGAGGCCTAAAATCGAGCCAAAATATCATAGTGAGTCGATCCCAGACAGCCACCGAACGCCTCCCCTGGCATGTTGTTACAGACGTTGCAGTGACAATAAATTGAACCAGGATGCCATAATGAGCTTTTTTTTAGGCCAGATCGAACAAGAACACCATCGTGAGCTTCATTTCGGGATCCGGGAGAGTTGGAATCGCTATGGTGAGCTCTACTTCTGGACCAATTCGAGCCTGAACTCCATAGTGAGTCATTTTCGGACCAAGTCGAATCCAAACACCGTGAACGCCGTTTGCACGCGCCGCCGGACCAGTGAACCGCCTCCCCCCGGCGCCCCCCCTCCATGTGGAGATTCTGGCGAAAGGAGTTCTCCGAGCACGTGTTGCGAGGGCTGCAGTCGAGCCAGGGCACCAGAACGAGTGGCGGAGTCGAGTCAGAACACCATAGGGAACGCTGCCGGCACGCGCCGCTGGACTGGCGAGACGCCCCGACCCGCCCGGGGAGATTCTGGCGAGAAGAGGAGCACTAGTGGAGCTTTCGAGCGAAACGCCACTAGGGAAAAAGGCGAGAAATCAATGAAGGATTTTGGCCTCTTGGGGGGGTCCTGCGAGCACTCAGTCTTCTGGCCCTCGTCGGGCCTTTCAGAGGTATGTTGGACATTGTCTTGAAATATCGTCGGCTATCTTGAGCCGCCTTGGAAGCCATCTCGGAGCCATCTCTGTCGATCTGACCCGTCCGTCCCCCTCCCCAGACCCAGGGAAGGGGAGGGGGGGTAAACCTCCCCGAATGAAAGAGGGGTTGTGGAAGAGGAAAGGCAGAATTCTTCAGACCACCTAGCCCAAAGGGCTGGTGGGATTCAGGACATCGCGTGTCTGGGGTCGCAGCGCTGGCGAACGCACAGCGCAGTCGGGCCGCCAGACCTGGGCGCGGAGTCGTAAACGAAGGACACATGCGTTTCCAGCAGCGTGCTGAGTCCACATGTGTTAGTCTACGCTGTGCCGAAAGTATCGCGCCAGACTTCGTGATGAGCTCCGCGCTGAGCTCCGCGCCATGGGCTGCGTGCTGGGCACCAGGGCAACTTAGCGTTGACCCCGTCTGCTGGGACCGCCGCCAGGAAGGGCCGAACGCCAGACCACCTGCTACCTCCCGGACCTCCGAAGTCGCGGTCTTTCCGCAGCGTTGCTCCCCAGAGGTCCAGACCCCTTCGCCGGCGCTTGCCTGTCTCCCTGAATTGTCCCCTGAGTGGCCTTGTCTTCTCCACCCCCCCGCGGCCGCCCAATTCGCTTTACGGTACCCCCCGTCTAGATTTCGCGCTAATGCAGCCAACTCTGCCTCGCCGCCGGCAACAAAATGTCTTCCTGAATTGTCTTTTGGCGGCTTGCGAGGCCGAGTGAGGGTGGGCCGAGCCGCTGCAGGATCGTGCTCGTCGGCGCCCGTGCGTCCGTCGCCCAGCGCTTGGGACAATCGACTCTGCAGCTCAGCGGCCATTGTGCTGTCCTCCGTCTCGCGCTGCAGCGCAGTCTCGCTGCCGTGCGTTGCGGGGCATGGGGCGGAGGTGGTCTGGTTCTCTGCGATGGGAAAAAGTTAGGGAAGCGAACACAGACATAAACATAAGAACTCGGAGGTCCGCGCAGACCTCCGAGTTCTTATGTTTATGGCGGTCTTCGTTCCCCTAGAGCAGAAGCGCCGCCGCAAAAACTGCGATGGGTCAAAGCGCAGCTCCTCCTCCTCCTCGTCGTCGTCGTCGTCCTCCTCCTCCTCCTCCTCCTCCTCCTCCTTCCCCTCCTCCTCCTCCTCCTCCTCCTCCTCCTCCTCCTCCTCCTCCTCCTCCTCTTCCTCGTCCTCGTCCTCCTCCTCCTCCTCCTCCTCCTCCTCCTCCTCCTCCTCCTCCTCCTTCTCAGCAGCAGGGCCATGAGCTCCTCGGGCAGCTGCTGCCGGCGGTGCCAGCGGGCCCTGCGCCTCGGCAGGGTGGCGCCAGAGCCTTACGCCGTGGCGGAGGCCCCCGCCCCCGCCCGGGGGGTGCTGCCGCTTCTCGGGTGGCGTGCGGGCGCCGGCGCGCGTCCCTGTCTTTGGAGGAGGAGGAGGAGAGGAGGAGGAGGAGGAGGAGGAGGAGGAGGGGAGGAGAGGGGGAGGAGGAGGAGGAGGAGGAGGAGGAGGAGGAGGGAGGAGGAGGAGGAGAGGAGGACAGTAGAGAGGAGGAGGAGGGAGGAGGAGGAGGAGGAGGAGGAGGAGGAGGAGGAGGAAGGGGGAGGGGGAGGAGGAGAGAGGAGGAGGAGGAGGAGAGGAGGAGGAGGAGTGACCACTGATCTCTGTACGACGAGAGCTGTGCAAAGGCAAGATGCGTCTGGAACGAGGTACCTTCTGGCGTTGGTGAGCTTGCCAAAGGGTCCGTAAGACAGTTGTACGCTGGATGTGATGCAGGCATCGTTTACATCAGACGTGAAGCGTGCGTCCCCAGACATGATGGCGTCGTGACAAAGTCACGACGCCGGAAGGTTTTGGCCATTCTCGGCCTCTGGGGGGTCCTCGCCGGGCTCTGGGTCTGTCAACAGAACAGCTCGCGATGAGAACTCAGCCCTGGGGAACGGGTCGAGACTTCCAAGGGCCCCGTGTGGGGAAAAGCAAGACACCGCACGCCTGGGTCGTCGCCCCCATGTCTCAGACGATCTGTTTTTCTGTTCTCAACCCCGGCGTTCTCTTCTTAGATTTAGGCCCCCAGGGCCCGTTGGCAGGCCCCGGGGCAGTCAAAAAGTGGATCTGGGACGTGCGACGTGCGAGTGGGGGAGAACTCATCCTGAGATATGCCCAGGCACGGATTCGACGCGCATCGGCGTGGGATGCTCGAATCCAGGCGGTTCTCAGAAGGTAGTTTCACATCTAGTCGGGCGTGCGCTTTCGTCCATCGGTGCGGAATCCTTCGTGCCTTGCCGCACGGGTATGGCCCCCTTGAGGGGAAGCGGTTTTGCCCGTGGATGCGCTCTGGGGGGGGGGAAACAAGTGGATCTGGGACGACACGCTGCCCTCCTGGAAGCGGTGGTCGGGACCTCTGGGGCTCTGGATTGTGAGGGCTCCTTCGAGGGCTCGCTGGAGGGCTCCTTCGAGGGCTCGTTTGAGGGCGTTCGAGGGCTCGCTCGAGATTCGGGCGTCGTGAGTTTGTTTGTCACACCTCGGCGCCGACCTTGAAGGCGGGGCTTCTCCTGGGACCCCGCTCGCGACCCCCGCCCCTCTGGGGATCCGCCGGGGCCCTGGGGGGCGGCAGTCCGGCTCGCCGGTGCATCGGCGATGTGGCTCGATGCGGAGCCCGATGCTCTCCACGCCGACATCGCCGATGCGTAGCCAATCGCCGATGCATCGGCGATGCATCGGCGATGCGGCGCGGTCCTGCGGCCCCATGTGCTCGAACCCCGTTTGGGCGGCCAGCGCTGGCGTGTTGCCGCCGTCGTTCGTCTGCGTTCGAGGGCTCGGAGGAGCCCGGGAGCCTGGCGTCTGTTGTTTTCATACACCGGGTACTTGTCGGTCTGGCTCGAGGCTGGAGGAGGAGGAGGAGGAGGCGGAGGAGGAGGATGAGGATGAGGATGAGGATGAGGAGGAGGAGGAGGAGGAGGAGGAGGAGGAGGACTGCCAGGTACGCAATAGGCTTTGAGGGCACCTGGAACCCATCTTTCAGGATGAGGCGACCATCAGAACCCTGGTCAGGGTGGTTGCGGTTTTCCACTCACCCGCTGCCCAAAACAGCATGCCCATGCAGAAAGGGAGTTGCAAGGGCTCTAGGAGGACTCATCCTTGCTGTGCGTGGGTGTGTCTGAGGAGCTGTCCTACGCACCTGTAGTGTGAAAGTCTGAGCGGCAGGGAAGGGCGTGGGACTGCCCCTTGCCCGCTCCTTTGTGCAGGCGGGCAATCTGGCCGGTGAGGACGGGAGCCTGCGCAGGCCCAGGGAGTTTTGGAGCCTTTGTGGCCGCTGGCCCCTGCGCTTTGAGCTGCGGGCAGTGGGGTCCACTGTTACAATCGTAACCGCCCGGGCTGTGCACAATTTGCCCATTGCAAGCCGAGTGCGGGCAAGGGCCAACAAAGGCCGAGCGGGCGCTCGGGCTGCCGGGTCCCTGCATACTGACTGTGGTAAAGCAGACGGTGCTGACACAGTGGGCGCTAAGCTTGAGCGGTAACGCTACAACGGCGGGGACAACATCCCCCCCTTGCACGCAGCGCCAGCCGAGGGGGGCCGACAGAGAGTCACAGTGCGGTACCGCATCAATTACTGGGTACCCGGGGGGGCACGATCTGTCCGCCCCAGGGGGCGCCTCAATCTTGAACAGAGGGCCCTCGTGCAGCGTGCGATTGTGGGAGGCCGGGCACGCACCGCACACGCGTTAGTGGATGGGCCGGCCTGCCCAAGCCGTGTCGGACAGCAGGGCACAGAAACCACACACACAGTTTGTCATCGCAATTCGTGTAGCAATGTGGGGCCCATTTCATCGGCCACGCGGCCGGGACACGATGAATGTGGTGACATCTGCCCGGCCTGCTCCGCATAGCTTGCATTGCACACGCGACAGCGTACAATATCCTAGTTATACAATGCAGCGCCCAGGCCTGGACCAAAGGCTGGGGCCCTGGGGCGTGGCAACGTTTCCGCCGGGCCCTGCAGGGCCCCCACAATCTGCAACAAATCGTGCCCCCCAGACTGGAGGGCGCGAGGCGTAGATCCGCTAGCAGTCCTACGCAAACCTTTCCCCCCGTGCGCGGGGGGAGGAAACGGGGGGGAGGAGACAGGAAAGTCTTCGTCCGGACCTCCGTGCGTGTCCAGACTGTTACGTTGACGAGGGGGGTTTGGCCTGGGGTGTCAAGCCCCCTCTGCCCTCGAAAACCCTTGCAAGATTGGGAAGATCATGCGAGGGAGGTACGGAGGGGAATGGGCTTGCAAGATGGTGGCGAGATATAGTTTTCACCCTGGAAGTCGGCAACCCTTGTCACAATATATAGCTGCGGGACGATTGTGTGACAAAACAAAGGCGGGACCGCGAGCATTTCCGCTGGGGGTCTATACCTCTGTTGTGCGAGTGTGGAGTGGAAGCAGGACCGCCGGCATTGCCGCCGGGCTGTTCCAGAGGTCGATACCTCTGGTGTGCGAGCGTGGACTGAAGGCAGGACTTGTCGGCATTGCGCCGGGCTATGCCCTGGAGGTCAGTGCCTTTGGTGTGTGAACGTTGAGTGGAAGCAGGACCGCTGGCCGAACCGCCGGGCTGTGTCCTTGAGGACGATGCCTCTATTGTGTACGAGTGTGGAGTGAAGGCAGGACTTGTCGGCATTGCCGCCGGGCTTTGTCCTGGAGGTCAGCACCTCTGATGTGCGATTGGGGGTGAAAGCAGGACCACCAGCATTGCCGCCGGGCTGTGTCCTGGAGGTAAATACCTCTGGATTCGCGCGTGGGGTGGCAGCAGGACCGCCGGCATTTGAGCGGGGTTATGTCCTGGAGGTCAGTGCCTCTGGTGTGCGTGTGTTGAGTGGGAGCAGGACCGCCGGCTTTGCCGCCGGGCTGTGTCCTAGAGGGCGATGCCTCTATGGTGTACGGGTGTGGAGTGGAGGCAGGACCGCTGGCATTGCCGCCAGGCTGTGTCCTGGAGGTCAGCACCACTGATGTGCGAGTGGGATGGCAGCAGGACCGCCGGCATTTGCGCCAGGCTTTGTCCCGGAGGTCAGTGCCTCTGGTGTGCGAGTGTTGAGTGGGAGCAGGACCGCCGGCCACGCCGCCGGGCTGTGTCCTGGAGGACGATGCTTCTATGGTGTACGAGTGTGGAGTAAAGGCAGGACTGCCGGCATTGCCGCCGGGCTGTGTCCTGGAGGTCAGCACCTCTGATGTGCGAGTGGGGGTGAAAACAGGACCGCCGGCACTGCCGCCAGGCTGTGTCCTGGAGGTCAACACCTCTGGTGTTCGCGCGTGGGATGGCAGCAGGGCCGCCGGCATTTGCGCCGGGCTATGTCCTGGAGGTCAGTGCCTCAGGTGTGGGAGTGGTGAGAGTAAGCAGGACCGCCGGCCTCGCCGCCAGGCTGTGTCCTGGAGGCTAGCACCCGTGCTGGCCTCTTGCCACGGTCGCCCCGCTACTCACTCCTCCAGGGGCTCGGCTGGGGTGCTCGTCGGGTGTGGCAAAACCACACCCTTAGTGGCGCCACGTGCGTCCCCAGCCGATTCCCCCAGAAGAGTCTGGAGCAGCATTGGTACGGGGAGGAGGAGGAGGAGGAGGAGGAGGAGGAGGAGGAGGAGGAGGAGGAGGAGGAGGAGGAGGAGGAGGAGGAGGAGGAGGAGGGGCTGGCTGGCTCAGTCTTGCTCGAGGCTCAGGGTTTTCGGGCGTTTTCGCTGGTTCTGGGCGGCTGTCCAGCCTCGGGGTGCTTTGCAGCAGGTGCGCCTCACCCAGAGCGTTCTGGGGGTGGCACGGATCGTCCCGAGCGGCCGCTGTTGACCCGAGCTCAGGCCCGAAAGCTGAGGAGTACTGGGGAGGGACTCTGAGATCTCAGGGCATGGCATTTGTTCGCACCGAGCGTTTCGTGCGGCTTCCGGCCCAAGGGCCCTCACGGATCGATCTGTCTCGGGTAATGCCGCAGAAAAATTGGCGCTAGTCGTGACACTTCATCCTGCCGCCTGTCGCCGCGGCCGTGCAGGCAAAGCAGGTCGCGGCGGCCACCTGGGCAGCGGCGGCCCATGAGAGTGGCTAGTGCGGGACCCGCAGGCATGCATGAATTCACTCGCGGGCCTTCTGGCCCTTGGAGAGCAAAATGCCCCCCACCGTATTTCGCGACGTTGGGTCCTAGAGGCACAAGGCTCTGGGATCCGAGGGGGCTCGCAGGCTCCCTGCGGCTGATGCGTGCCGTGTTGACTCGACGGTCGCCCCAGCGCGGGCGTTTTTAACGTACG